GTGGAAACCTAATCTTCAATTTAAAAGCAAAAAAAAAACTGCCTTGAGCTCTTGACAGTTCTTACAAATGGCTTCCCTGGTCGCCATTTGGAAGGTGGTCAGCTGGGGACAGATATCTGGTCTCTGACTAGGGAACAGTTGTTCTTTGTGGGAAGCTATTTGATCTGTGTTTGACTGGGATCCGTGAATCATGTTTTCCTACCACGTCTTAAAGGCTTCCCTCATCGAAAGTCAAGCTATAACTTTGTACGACAAAGTAGGGGGTATGCTCATTTAGTCTTTCTCTAAAAGCGGTCCTTAAAAGTTCTTTGGATAGAATGGGAGCGGCTCATGCAGAGGTAAACAGGGCAGGTGTGGCTTGGGATAAAGAGCCATCCTGTTCATCAGAGGCCTAGAGTTTGTTTGTGAAGGAGTAGTCTATTTCTTGACAAAATTAGAATGAATATACTTGCTTTTTAAATATAGATCTGCATAAAAGGAGGTACACATTCTTAGTTCATCATGCGAGCTGCTTTATCCTAACTGTTCCATAGCGTTCTGAGGGGTTAAGTAAACATCAGTTTGCATCCCTGTTTTCACTAGACAACTGGTTTTTCTCTTAGCGAAAGTCTACGTTTCTTCAGAAGTATCTTTTTAAAAGTTTAAGGAGATCTTCACTGGTGTTAAGAGTTTGATGGCATATTACACGTGCTTTGTTCTGCCTCAAACCTTGAACCCCCTTGAGACCAGATCGGCCTAATGTCGGCCACAGAACCAATATGGCTATTGAGTCACTGAGCATTCCAGCCCCAGAGAAGAATCATTTAATCGTGGTCACCGCTGTGAGAGAACAGAGTTGAACATTCAAATGTGACACCTGCAATTAGAAAGATCTCTGGTTTTGCCACAGCTATTTTAAAGATGAGGTAATACCGGGAGTGTTGAAAAGGCAGCATTTATTTAAAACTTTCCACTGCAGTTAATTTATGCTCCAGTAAGTTCCTTATGTTCCATCAAAGAAACTTATTGTCTGACCTCAGGGTCTTAAAGGGTTAATGTGACTGTTTATGTATTTATTTGTACTTGGTATCGAACCTAAGAAGTTTACTAGGCAGGTACTATACACTGCGCATGGTATTGAGCACATAAAAGGTGCTGGGGGGTGAGTGAGGGTGTAGATCCAGGAACCTGAGCACGCTAGGCCAGCGCTCTGTCCCTGAGTTACACTCCTTAGCCCCTCTCCACTTCTTGTAACTTCACAGCCCCTGCCTGACATCACCTCTCTGAGCTCCAAGTGGCTTTGAACAAAAAGAGAAAGCCAGGGACTTTGGGAGTCGGGTTTCATCTCAGAGCAGCACCGCCATCACCTTCGGCAAGGTGCGAAAGGGATCCTGCCAGGTATAGCACCGGAAAGTTACAAGTTGGGTTACATTTTAACCGGCGTCCTACAAAACCGACGCCGCGGAGGTGTCTCCCTCGCTAACTTGTAAAAAGAACTCCAGGTTCTTGAGCCGGGGAGAGTTAGCCGGCCGAGAATCTGGCAGCCGTTCAACGACCCCGCCCTCGGAGTCCCAGGGGGGCTGCTTCTGCAGGGCGCGATTGTCTAGGGCGGAGGCGCCCGGAGGGCAGGAAGGGAGCGGGGGGTGAGCCCCGAAAGCACCCCTCGAAGACGCACGGCTCAACGCGCCTGGAAAACTTCCCCGGCAGCGAGCAGGGCGGGAGGGGGCGGCGGTTCCCCTCGGCAGCACCGAGAGCACCGCGCG